GCCATAGTCTTATGCAAATCATGCCGTGTGGCGTAATTGTCTGCTGACCAATCAGTGGATGTACTTTCAAAAAGCGAACGGTCACTTTCAACCATCTGTCGATTAAAAAAATCTTCGCTAGGCCTTACTTTCAGCGGAGGTCTTATATTTCGCAATTCAGCAAAATCTGTGCTAGGTCTTATTTTCTGCGGATGCCTTATTTTCGGGGAAACACGGTAGCTGTATTCTGTATTTCATCATTTATCCCATCATAAAACTTCTCTATATACAACATTTTTGGTAAAAAAATTACTATTATTTGGAATCAATTTGCCTTGTTCTGATGTTTTCAGAATCTTGATTTTGACATCAGTTGCTCTCCTTACTCTGGAAAAAGCAACGTAAAGTTGTCCATGTCCAAAAACAGGTTCAGACAAAAAAATTCCAACCCTGTCAAGAGTCTGTCCTTGTGACTTATTGATGGTCATTGCAAACGAAGCCTTGACAGGAAACTGTCGTCGTTTCAGGGTAAATGGGTAATCAGAACCATTATTTGTTAAATCAGTTCGTGGTATCAGGATTATCTGTCCCGATCCGGACCCAGTAAGCACTTCTGCTTCGATGACATGATCTCTTAAACTCATCACAACTAATCGGGTTCCATTACATAATCCTCTTTTTGTGTTGAGGTTCCTCAGCAGCATTATGATGGTGCCAACCTTCAAGTGGAGTTCATGAGGGGGTAATCCCGATGCACGTACACTGTTCAGGTACTCTATAGGGTAATTTAATCTTTCCTGGTGATCATCAGTTTGTATCTCATCGTAGCTGTAATAAGTTTTTTCCTCTTGCTCATGTAAAAGTTTCAAAACTTCGTCATTGATTCTGCCGACGTCAGCATTTTTAGGGCAAAGTATAGCCCTATTTTTAATGGTTGGTATCATATTAGGAGTTATTTGCTCACCAAATACCTTCTTCACCAAATCACCTTCACAAAGAAATTCAGGGGGAACCTCGATAGTGTGTTCAAGTTCAAGAGAATTTCCCAATGTGCCGTTTCCCAATTTCAACAGCCATTCACTATATTTAGGGTCCTGTGATCTCATATTGGTACTCAATGTGAGTTTCTTAAAGAAGCTCCAAGAATCACAATACTTAAGTCCAGACTGGACAATCGCTGGTCGCATTGCGTGCGGGAGAATGTTTAAGCATTGCCGAAAGTCACCTCCAAGTAATTTTACCTTCCCACCAAATGAAATTTGATGTCCAGTTACCTCTCTTAGAATTTTGTCAATGGCATTCATAACATGGCTCGATGCCATGGTGCATTCATCCAAGATAAGCAACTTTGCTAATCTAACATCTCTTCCATCTTTCGACTCCAAACTCAGGTTTGAAATGGATGTCTCATTGACTTCTAAAGGTAACTTAAACAGAGAATGGTAGGTTCTACCTCCACTGAGCAAGTTTGCCGCAATTCCGGTTGATGCTATGGGAATGACAATTTCATTCCTTGCTCGAAAGTAATGAAGAAGAGTTCGATACAAATATGTCTTCCCACTTCCTCCGGGACCGTCCAGGAAAAAACATTTAGGGTAGATCTCTTCATCATTCACAGCATTGATTATTGTTGTAAATGCTTGTCGTTGGTCATCATTCAAAGATCTAATCATCTCATCAGCGGCCTCCTGCTCAACATCTGAATCATGGATAATCTGATTCATACTTGGCAAATCATAGCCCACATCAGGTAAATTGAAATTGCAGAGTGAATGACCAAGAAGAGTCAGGGTATCTTTTACATCCTTAAGTGCATACTCGGCACATCTTTGACATTCACCCTGTTTGAGATGTCGCTCAGAGCAAACGTCCTCTGTCAAATACTGTAAATTATCATTCCATAACTTAAGAGCATCAGAGGGAAGACCATAAGCACAGAATATAAGCAAACATTTGCCTAAGCTGGAATGGCATTGCATAAACAATGGCATCATGAATTGTGTCTTGCAAAATTGTGTCATCCAAAAGATATCCCTTGCACTTCGCAGCCTCTCAAAAGGTACCTACCTGAACGGACTCGTTGTTCACCACAATTGTTCGTAAGTGTTGAAAAGATGTCACTGCCTTTTCGTGGCATAAAAGTAATCGAAGATAGTATCTTTCTGGGTCTTTAATACTTACATTTACCATTCTCCCAATCACTTTCTCTCCTCCCATTTGTTTCCTTTCCCACATTGCAGTCGTATCCTTCCAAACGAAGTGTTTGGATATTTCGGAATAAGTAAAGTCATGCGCAGTTTCATCTACTACATTCAACTTAAACCATCCTGTCAATTTCGTATCTTTCCTCTGAGCTCGATGTGCAGCCAGCTGTTCATTTCCCTGTTGAAAGTACACAATGTGTTCATTTTGCAGATGTACTGGTAGTCTATAGATAGTGTGCGACTGATCATGCATCTTGAATCTAAAAATTCGATGAATCGCTTCAGGTGCACTCACATATCGTGAGTCCACATACTCCTTCGTCTCATCTCTTTCGTTCCTCTCAGTAATACAAAGGTTTGCACAATCATGACCTTTGTATACATACTTGTATAAGTACTTCACACTCTTTACTGATGAACAGATCTCCACATTTATATGACAATTATATGTTAGTAATAAGTATGGATTGTAAGGAACAACCCAGCTATTATCTATCAACTTCCCATTCACCTCAACAGATCCTTGATTCCGTCGTCTATAATATGGATATCCATCCAAATTTCCAAGCGTAGCATCACAGAAGGACTTTGGGAAGTTCTTCGTGCAATCACTGTCAACCATGCAGGGACTTGAAGGGTTTCTCCTCCCACATGGTCCATGGATCATATGTTTCGTGACTATTTCAAAAAGTCGTGGCGAAGTCTCTTTATCTGGAATCTCTGCTTTCACAATTTTATCAATATCTTCAGGAGTGGTAATTTTTTCGTCCGTGTCTAAGATGATCAGAATGTGTGCATGTGGAAGACCTCTCTTCTGAAACTCAATAACATGCACATGTGCAAGAACCTTCCCAAATAATGACTTACGCCTATTTGTAATGTCATCAAGAAGTTGTTTAAGTTTCAAGTGAAATACTCGTGCGACCAAGTCAGGTCTGAATTCAGATTTTTCCCAAGGTTTGAGATTTTCAGTTATTTCTTTCCATTTTGGGTTGCAAGTCATTGTTACAAATAAATCAGGCTTTCCATACTTTGTGACAATGGCCATAGCATCTTGATAATACTGCTGCATGTTTCGTACTCCACCCTGGAAACTTGAAGGCAGTATAACTGCTTTTCCTATCAGGTTATTACTCCCATGAACTTCCTCATCCCATTCTATCGCATCCATTAAACCATTATATTTCTCTGATCTCAATGTTGACTGATTATTTTTCACCCAGTTCAAGTCATTCGCCTCAGCTCTCACATAAGCATCCACCATGTATTGTTGTGTCAATTTTCCCGCACTCAATATCGGATTAAATTCATCATATCGAGGAGACAATCTGTAAGAGAAATATTCCTTCATACTTATTCTTTCTCGTGTCTGTGCCCCATTCTTCTTTACTCTTGCAATTGTGGTTGTCCATCCGTCGTCTCCTCCAGGAAACAGTATGGGGTATGTCAATGCATCCAGCTTTTCGTGTAGTATACTTACTCGTTGTATCCCTCCATTTGGGTTTAGAGAATCAGGTCTGAGATGTATAATTATATCTCTTTGAAGTGGAGGCTCTCCATCTTTTGTCTGGAAGACAATTGCCACCTCATTTCCAGTTGGACTATTATATCTTCTCTTGTCATTTTTTTTTTATCATTGACAATGGCTAATGCCAATTTAGTTGGTTCAATTCCTTCATTCTCTGCCTTCTCAATTGCTTCTCTCTCAACCTCATGTAACATCTTGAGGGCTTGTGCTATTGAATTGTTTTGCATTACCTCTCCAATTATCCTCATGATATTTTCATTACAATGTTTATTTTCGGGGAGACTCATGCGATGCTGTGCTGCTTCATCTGAATCAAGAATGTAAATTTGGTCAAACTTCCTCTGTTCTTGCTCATTCGGGTGAAGTGTTCCAGTTCGGTGTACTATCTGTCTGCACACTCGAAAGCAGTAGGGTCCATTTCCAGTTGGTGGCTTCACATTGGCACCTGTAGATGCAAATGCAAATGAATTGTTGTAAGATCGAATACATTTCATAAAATGTTTGCTCTCAGGACCTTTACCAGTCAAGAGGCACCGAAATGTTTCAGGGTAAGGCTTATATTTAGGCAGTTGTACTTGAACCTTCTGGCAACATCTTGAGAATTGATCGTGATGATTAGATGTCTTCTCCCCCTCAAAGTTAAGTGATAGGCAATGTTTACAAACGATGTCCATTGGGCCAAGATAATTCTGTGGAAAATCAAAATCGTTGTTTTCAGCATTCACTGAGGCATTCTTAAATGCTAGGCGTGCGTTTTTCTCTGCATCTGTTTGAAGCTGGCATCTATGAGATCGCTGCTGTTCAGTTTCATTGGCGTTTTGCTGTCCGCGTAGCTCTAATCTAGCAGATCGTTGTTCATGAGATTCATTTTGTCTTCTATGTCGTCTTGCTTCTGTCTCCCTGTGCAACCTTGCAGATCTCAGCTCATCAGTTTCATTTTGTCTTCTGTGTCGTTTTGCTTCTGCCTGCCTGTGNAAATAATGACTTACGCCTATTTGTAATGTCATCAAGAAGTTGTTTAAGTTTCAAGTGAAATACTCGTGCGACCAAGTCAGGTCTGAATTCAGATTTTTCCCAAGGTTTGAGATTTTCAGTTATTTCTTTCCATTTTGGGTTGCAAGTCATTGTTACAAATAAATCAGGCTTTCCATACTTTGTGACAATGGCCATAGCATCTTGATAATACTGCTGCATGTTTCGTACTCCACCCTGGAAACTTGAAGGCAGTATAACTGCTTTTCCTATCAGGTTATTACTCCCATGAACTTCCTCATCCCGTTCTATCGCATCCATTAAACCATTATATTTCTCTGATCTCAATGTTGACTGATTATTTTTCACCCAGTTCAAGTCATTCGCCTCAGCTCTCACATAAGCATCCACCATGTATTGTTGTGTCAATTTTCCTGCACTCAATATCGGATTAAATTCATCATATCGAGAAGACAATCTGTAAGAGAAATATTCCTTCATACTTATTCTTTCTCGTGTCTGTGCCCCATTCTTCTTTACTCTTGCAATTGTGGTTGTCCATCCGTCGTCTCCTCCAGGAAACAGTATGGGGTATGTCAATGCATCCAGCTTTTCGTGTAGTATACTTACTCGTTGTATCCCTCCATTTGGGTTTAGAGAATCAGGTCTGAGATGTATAATTATATCTCTTTGAAGTGGAGGCTCTCCATCTTTTGTCTAGAAGACAATTGCCACCTCATTTCCAGTTGGACTATTATATCTTCTCTTGTCATTTTTTTTATCATGGACAATGGCTAATGCCAATTTAGTTGGTTCAATTCCTTCATTCTCTGCCTTCTCAATTGCTTCTCTCTCAACCTCATGTAACATCTTGAGGGCTTGTGCTATTGAATTGTTTTGCATTACCTCTCCAATTATCCTCATGATTTTTTCATTACAATGTTTATTTTCAGGGAGACTCATGCGATGCTGTGCTGCTTCATCTGAATTAAGAATGTAAATTTGGGCAAACTTCCTCTGTTCTTGCTCATTCGGGTGAAGTGTTCCAGTTCGGTGTACTATCTGTCCGCACACTCGAAAGCAGTAGGGTCCATTTCCAGCAGGTGGCTTCACATTGGCACCTGTAGATGCAAATGCAAATGAACTGTTGTAAGATCGAATACATTTCATAAAATGCTTGCTCTCAGGACCTTCACCAGTCAAGAGGCACCGAAATGTTTCAGGGTAAGGCTTATACTTAGGCAGTTGTACTTGCCCCTTCTGGCAACATCTTGAGAATTGATCGTNTATTGCTCCAATATATTGGATAGGAGTAAAGAGATTAACAGAATTAAGGAAGTAGCTACAAATTTGGGTTTCCGCAGAAGTACAATTGAAGGGCTAGTAAAAAGTTATGAAAGAGGCAAAAGGCTAAGAACGGGAACAGATCAATTTAAGATCACAAAATTTACGTATAATAAAAACTTCAAGGACATCATGAAGCAAGTTTCCGATAAAAAACGCTCCAAAATTGTTTACAAAAGAGGTCCTAATTTATACAGTATTCTTAGAAACGACAAAGACAAGCTGAAGAAAGAAGAAACAGCGGGCGTGTATAAAATTCCCTTTGAAAACCAACAGCTAGGAATTAGGAAGGACTATATTGGAGTTACAAGACGAAATTTGGCTATTAGGCTTAAAGAACACAGATATGACATTAGCAAAGGACATTATACCACGGTTTTGTCAAATATGGCACAAGCGGAGGCTTCAGTAGTTAAATGGAATGAAGCATCTATTCTCAAGACGTTGAGGTCCCCATCTTTGGCGTTGCAACATGAAAAAATTGAAATTTATAAGAGTAAATTAAGAGACGGCTGTATCAATGCATGGGATGCTGATGGTTTATCATCGGCATGGAAGTTCCTTGTAAAAGAAAAGTTAAAACACACAAATTCTTAGTTCCTATCTGCCCTTTATAATATGATGTTTTTTATGTATATATTTTTTTGTGTGAATTTAGTCCTTTTGTGCATTTAATCCTTTAGGTTTATTTATTTTGTTTTTGTTTTTATTTTTGTTTTTATTTTATATAGCCTTATTTATTATTTATATTAATATGGCGTCGATCTATTTAGTATACTTATTTTGTATATTGGTTGGTTAATTTATTTTTCGTTTTAATTTTGAATTTATAATGATCGAACGTTCCATTTAATACAATTTTGAAATACGTTCGAATGCCAGTTCACCTGAAGATGGCCTATTCCATTAGGCTGAAAACGTTTGTGTTTCAATAAATATAGCTCAGCATATAAGGTGTTAAGTGTTTTTATTAAAGGTTTAAAAGAAGCTGAGTTGAGTTTCAATTTATAGTTTTTTTCTTCACACCGGTTATTGGATGTATGTGTTATTAGTGACAATAAAGTTAAACTTTTGAATGGAAAATATTTCTCATTCTTTCCTGGTGATGAAAAATTTTCTTTAGTTTCATTCATAGTTTTTTAAAAAAATGTTTCAATGAGCTATTTTTTATAGTTTCATAAACATAGCTCATTTAAACATTATAGTGCAGTAGTGTTGCATCAGACATATAAAATGCAGACATACAAAATGTAGGTTAAATCTTTTTAATTCAGTGTAAGTAAAACTCCAATCAAAAACATGATAATTCTAAAAATCAAGCTATTTTGTGTAAAATAGTAAAATTTGTGCCTCAATGAAAATTTTGCACTTTGCAAAATCACAACTTAGTTAGGCCCTTGCACATAACTGAAATAAGAAATGTCAGCAATTTAAACTATCATATTGCAAACAAATAATGATTGAAACAACTAACTTTTAACATTTAAAGCATTGAAAAAGAGTGATAACGATAACCAAAACAAAATGCAAATGATCAGCCATATGTTAAAATTAGTATTAAAAAAAACCTGCTTAAAATTACCTATTTACCTGAAGATAATGATAAGTGTAACTAAAACTTTTTTCAATAAACAAATTTTTATAAGTGTACTTTAAGTACAGGTGCTCTGCTACTTATGAACAGGTTAGATTCCCAAAGATCTAGAAATTATATTTATTAGTGTTGTAACGAATAGTATATTCGGCCTCAGGCCGAATACCGAATATTCGGCCAGGAGCGTGGCCGAATATTCGGCCAAACTATTCGGCTTGATTAACGCACATACGAAAATTGGCGCGCAAATCGCATTATGGCAAGGATCCTGCTCTCTATTGGCCAGCTGTCACTACGCTTTGCTAATCACGTTAATTCTTGGCAGTTGTAGCGGACAGACAAGAGTGTCATGGAAGTATGTGATAAATGATGATATCAAATGTGTATAACAATGAAATGACCTACACGTGTAAATAACGGAAAAAGAACAGAGAAGGACCGCGAAGTGAAATTGTGAAAATAAATAAGAAATTGAGTCGATAACATAATTGAACAAGTCAAAACAGCTTATTGGCACGAAATTCGCGGCTGTCAATGCCAAACAATTGTTGTCATAGACTTCGGAAAGCTAAATACTTGTAACAAAAGTCACTTAGCGTGCATGGGCGAAAACCTGGGGCCGTTCGGGCTATCAAGCTGTCTCGAATCTGTGAAATCATAAATGTGACTTATATCGACGTCCTATCTGTCTCTTTTCTCCGTTATCACCAGGCTGTCACGTAATTGTAAAATGGGAACTCTACAACGGAAAAGTGACGAATCGAAAGTATCGTGAGCGCGTATTATGATGTATGCAAAGGCATACATGGATTAGAGCAATAGAGGAAAGAGAAAGGGAAGAGCAAAGACGAGCGCTTAAAAAGAAGGATAGGCAGGGTCAGACCCTCAGATGTGCAATGTACATGACACGTACACACCTATTCGTTGGAGAATAGGTGTGTACATGTGCTGATCTTTGTAATTATAAATTGTGAATACATGTGACTAATATTATTTTCATTTTTATTTTGCGCATGTTACAAGTTATAAATAAATATAAACAAACAACACTAACTCGATAACATTAAATCTAAATAACAAAATGATTAATTTACTGTGTTTTTGTTATTTATTACTCCTGCTTTTAGGTATTCGGTATTCGGCCGAATAGTGATTAAATATTCGGTATTCGGCCGAATAGTGATTAAATATTCGGTATTCGGCCGAATAGTGAAAAATAGGCCGAATACCGAATAGTAACCGAATATTTGTTACATCACTAATATTTATACAGAATAATCACATATTGTTAATGCTTGATCCTTCAATGCACAAACGGTGAACGGTTAATGAACATAATCTGTTCCAAGACTTTGTTCGCTATCCAAATTGTACATTAACCGATTATCAATTTACCAGAGGTTTGTATGGGAATTTGATTCATTCATTCTGGAGACCCCAAAAAAATAAAAAATATATACTTTCTTACTACGTTTATTTATATGTAATAATAAAAATACATATATACAGTGTCTTGCATTTTAATTAGTCATGTTTTTTCCATTTGTGAGGGTTAAAGAATCTGTCTAATGTTGATTGCTTTTCTTTCTTCTTCAGGATTTTTCAGAAGTAATTAATAGAATTATAATTCTAGAGATCCCCAAGCCTATTAACCTCAACCTGGTTTGGACGCCATTCTAAGACCGTTGTTCCGACATTCTCCCATTTCTTCAAAAGATGTTTAACAGCAGATATCGGCATTAATCCTATTTTTCAGAAGAAAACATATCTTGTTGAGTTTCTTGATGTTCTTCATTTAAGAGTTATTGGTGTTCTTCTGTCATCAGATTAGTTTCGAATTCTATTATTAGCTCTTCAATGTTCTTTATTTCTCAGATGTGATTTTTGTTACTCCTGTAGCAGCTCGAGTCTTCTTGATTATACTGTATCTTTCTTAGATAAAATTGAACTGCGGCCTACTATAGACCCGTTCGAGCCATGCTTCCCAGCAACATTGGACATCTGCCCACTCTCTACCTTTGTTATTATACTCTCGCCTTTCGAAAATAAAAAC